AAACTACTCCAAATGCGTACACATCTACTTTGGTAGTCACTCTTCCAGTAGCTGGCAAGAAACAATTTCACATTAATTACAAGTAAAGGAATAAGCTAGCATAGAATTGCGTATGACGCAACAATAATCTAGCTTAGCTAAGACTATGAAGTTCTACGAAACTAAAACAGACAAATATTCTTCATACTGCAAAAGGTAGTGGATACGAAGAAAATCTTTGGACATGCATGCTTTTAAAAATACACAAATGCAAGATTTAATCTAATCAGAGTATTCATCATATAAAAAAGGGTAAACGGAAGCTAGCCACTAAATTGTAGCCATTTGACTTAAATGCCACACCATATAATGCGCAACCCAAAATATCCAACCAAAGAGATCCACAGGAAAACAAAAATTTAACTAGAAAACAAATCATGAAACAAGGAAAAAAAAATGCAAATAACCGACAACAATGATGAGCCAAAAAATATAATGAATTGAAGTTGTAATATACAGATAGTTATAACCAGAAAAGGAAATAAATAAGATGTCCAAAAAAATTTAAGACAAACATGTTTTCAAAGGCTTTCCAAATATACCTGCATATTCAGGTGCCAGATATCCAAATGTTCCAGCCAACCTTGTCTCGACAGAATACTTCCCATCTGGTGCATTTTTGACCAAACCAAAATCTGCCACCTTAGCTCTCATGTCATCACCCAATAATATGTTCGAGGGTTTCAAGTCCCTGTGAATGAAGCTTTGCTGAGCTAAGCTGTGCAAGTATTCCACTCCCCGAGCTACATCCAGAGCTATCGCCACCCTTTGTTTCCAAGTCAATGGAGCACAGCCATTTTCACGCCAATCAAACAGGTGTTGTGTTAACGTCCCTTGAGGCATATACTCGTACACCAATAGCCTTTCGCTGCCGTTCATGCAATATCCTAAAAGAGCCACCAAATGTCTGTGTCTGACTTTACTGAGAACTGCAATCTCTGCTTGGAACTCATTCATTCCCTTACTCCCCGTTGCAACAGATTCCATTCTCTTCACAGCAATCTGAGTTCCATCATGCAATTCCCCTTTATAAACAACTCCAAACCCACCCCTACCTAAAATGTTATTCTCACTGAAATTATCTGTTACTTGCCGAAGAACCTGGATTGAAATAGTAGCATTCCCACCCTCAAAAACATGAATGTCACTACGCTCACTGCCCTGGCTTTGAATCTCGCTCGGAACACCACCATATCCATTGGAATTGGTAACGCTCATCATATCAATCTTAACCTCTCCTTTCCCATTTTGTGGATTATTAACCCTTCCAAACTTCCCGTGGCGGTTTTTAGCATGACACTTGCAAAAGACAAACACAACCACCGCAACAAAAAACACAGCAATAACAACAATACCTGCGATCCAAGCAGGAGAGAGTGAAGAACCACCTGACGCTGCATTTGGACTTCCACTTTGTGCATCACCAGAACCGTTTGACGGAGTAGTTCCACTGCCACCACCACCTCCAGAATGCCCAAGCAGCGCATTACCCGCAGTATTGAACTTCACCTTGGTTGGGAACTTTGGAACATCACCAGATAGGTTGTTATTAGACACATCCAGAACCTCAAGCTGAGCCAAAGCAGTCAAGCCTCCCGGTATGGAACCGCCCAAATTATTGTTATTGAGATACAGGTTTCTCAAATCAGTTAAATTGGCAAATGCAGGCGAAATCGTTCCCGTCAAATTCTGCTTCGCCAAATTCACCGTAATAATCTTCCCCGCAGCGCAGACAACGAAACTCCAATCGCCACAAGGATCATTCCCGGTCCAGGAACGCGCCAACTGAAGAGAATACCCGAAATCCTTAGCAATATCAAGCAAAGTGGTGACGCGAGAATCGCAGGGTCCAGCATCTTTCCTACAAAAACTATTCACTCCATTGAGAGTGACCTTCACACCCTTCCCAAAGGAAGGAACAGGACCCTGAAGCACATTGTTATCTAAAGAAACGTTCTGCAAACTAGACAGGGACATCAGAGAAGGTGGAACCACACCGGTTAGCTGGTTGTCCCTCAGCTGCAGATCAAACAAAGTGGTGCAATTTGACAAATCCGGAATGGGACCCGTGAAAAGGTTCTTGTGAAGCCACACCTGAGACAAGTGGGTCATGGAAGCAAGCACCTCAATGGTACCGGAAAACCCAAACCCGTCCTTCTGATTGTTGAGCCACAGATTCTGAATCCCAGATCCCGCGAAAGTCTTCGGTAAACCCCCGGTGAGGTTGTTGTAAGAGAGACGAAGCTCCTGCAAACTCACAAAGGAGTCAAACACATCAGGCAAGGTACCCACGAGGTTTGCGTTTCCGAGGTCGAGTTTGACGAGGTTGGAGGACTGAGTCAAGTCGGTGGGAATGGCCCATGGAGCGAGGTTGATGCTGTCTGTCATGCTGAGGCTTTGTAAATTAGTGAGACCCTGGAAGCAACCGTCGGGGATGGAGGTGAAGTTGTTGCCGTCGAGGTAGACGCTTTCCAGCATGGAGAGGTTGGCGAGGGAAGGCAACGCGCCGTAGAGCGCGTTGCCCTGGAGAGAGAGCGAGGTGAGTTGGGATAGGGAGTTCAGATCCGGAGGTAGCGTTCCGGTGAGTGACTGCGAAGCGATGCTGATTGAGATGACGCGGTTGGCGCTGCAGCCCACGCCCTTCCAGCTGCAGAAGCTGGTGGCCGACCACCCCGAGGGCGTGGGAGTGAGGGCTTTGGCGAGCTTGGACATGATGGCGGCATCGTCGGCAATGGCGGTGCAGGCGAGAGTCGAAAAGAAAAGAACGAGCTTACAGAGAGAAAGTAGGGTTTTCCGTTTTATTTTGGAGGTAGCCATTGAGATTTGGGAGAAGGAAGAAGACGAAATGTGGGTGGAGTTTGTTGCGTGTGATGGTGATAATAAGTATTTGTACAGAGGAAGAGGAGAATGGAAGAAGAGAAGATGATGACTGCTCCAACCTCATGTCATGTGCCAGTAGTTATGCTTATGCCCACTTTTCTTTTTTAAATCAATACTTAATCATGCTTAATAATGTCACAGGTTTTTTAATTAAAGAATTTTATAAATAAACAAATAAATAATAATGCTAAATAAGTAGTATTATGATAAATTGTTGGGGGTGAGTGACAGACAGTGAGAGGGAGGGCCCCACATCCAGCGTAGTAGAGTGGAGAATCAATACCAAAAGACAGAAAATTGGCTGTATTAGGTAAAAGACCAAAAGACACATGAAAAAAATGTCGTCGTTACATGGTATCATAAAAATTATAAAAATAAAATGTTATTAATGCATAGCAAAAATTAGAGTGGGAAAATGAAAGAGATAATTTGATTTGGTATCACGAAATTTAAATTTGGGAAAGAAAGGGAATACGTGGTTGAGGGTAGTGTGTGTTGTGGTCCCGTTAATGCCAACTGTTTCTTATTAGATTTTAGCGTAGAATACCGGTTCCTTGTCTTGTTTGACTCTTAAGTTCAGATTTTAAAAAAATGAATATGAAATACGTTTAGAAAAACCAACATGTTATGTTTTTGGTGTATTGGTTAAGTAAGAATAATTAATTGAGTTAATAAAAGTAATCACAGTGATAATATACCAAATACTGTCTTCTTTATCCTTTTTCAATTACTTTTCATACTGTCTTAACTTTTTCATTCTCCTTTTCACTTTTCGCCGAAGCTTCCCCCTATCCACCTTTCATTCTCTCTGTTATGGTGAGGTAAGAGAGTTGAAGAACAATAGTAGCTTCGGTGAACACCTGACAACTCTGTCCATATAATATGTCTATTTGAACCATCATTCATCTTTCAATACCACTTTGCTTTTGTCTATTTGGTGAGGCAATCTCAGACCCAATTCATATAAAATATCAACGTCCACCCCAGTGCCAAGAAAAGAGAGATATAAAAATGTTTACAAAATATATATAGTAAAATAATCACTCATAATTAAATACACAATCTCTACAAATACAAATTTTAATAATAATTTATAACTTCATTCTAAAATATTAAAACATTCAAACATCATTTTTTTTAAATTAGTTTGGGCCCCAAACTGGTGACGCAATTTTGTTTCAAATGTTTCCGACTGGGCCTAAACAGGATGACAAATCTACCCCAATGTTTATGGACCGAACAAAAAAAAACGATGTTCTTGTTACCGTTGTTTATCAAGAAATATATTATGAAAAACAATAAACGTTAACATCATTGCAACCTCATTTCTCAGAAAACTTATTTTAGCTGTATAATCAAGTTTAATAAATTATAATCAGTACCTTTAATTATATAAGACAAATATGAATAAAAAAAATCCGTTAATAATTCCTTAACTCGTTGCATGTACATAGCCATTATAATTTGAGAAAAATATGTTTTTAATCGTACTAGTACAATTAAATGATGTTTATCAATCTTTTTAACAAAAATAGGTTAATTTATTTATCTTTGCTTATATTTAATTTTTATTTTTTACTTGATAGAATATTGAAATGTACTTTGTAATGGCCATTGACAGCCAATGTCCATCGATATGATTAGGACAACCTTGGATTTAAACTTTTGGAAGCTTTTAGATAAGATCATCCTCTCAACAATTGAAAACACTGTTTGATGAAGATCCCATAACTAAATAGAATATTCAGACAACCATCAACTTGAAGTGACCACGCTTTGTTTTTATCAAATCAATAAAAGATACATTCATCTAACCATTAGTCCATTAATACATTAATAGGGTACATCAACCGAGACAATCGCTGACCTTATTTTTTCATCAATGACTAGAAAAATTATAATGGTTTTTTTTCATTAAGAAAAAAAAATAACAAAAAAAAAAGCATCTCATGCATGCTCTTATCTTTTTGACTAACCCAACCACCAAGGTTTGCAACGAAGCTAGATTTGGAATATGGTGGCACGCTGCTTAGCATAGCACTAACCATATAACCAAAAGCAAAACAACCCAACAAGGGTGGTCACATCAAACAATCCTGTCCAAATTTTGCAACATCATCGAGAAAACTCCTCATATTCCTATCCGAAGAGCCTCCTTCCTTGACGGCTTCCCTGGCCAAACATTTCCACTTCTCGGCGTTCCTTCTCAGTTCCTCTCCTTTTCCTCCCCTCCCCATCACCACTTCCAAACACTTCCTAATCTCCTCAGCCTCCACAATCCCCTCCTCGTTCACCTTACCATCCACTCTCATCCCCGTCTTCCACACATCCTCCACCATCTTTGCATTAGTCCCTTGGTCTGTCCACTGCGGAAAAGCCACCATAGGAACCCCCGTAACCAAACTTTCCATCGTCGAATTCCATCCGCAGTGTGTCACGAAACAACCCAACGAACCATGCCACAGAACCTCCACCTGAAAATCAAAGGTCCAAACTACTGAATAGTCCCCTACTCATTTATATATACACTAGCGGTATTTAACTGTCTAATAATTTCTTACCTGAGAACACCAATTCACAATCTTCCCCCTCTTCTCCAGCTCCTTTCTGCAGCTCAGTTCTTGCAACTTTTCATTACTTTCTCTAATGACCCACAAGAAAGGATACCCAGAATCAAGCAACGCACGTGCTAACTCCTCCATCTGTCTCTGAGACAACACAGCCAGGGTACCAAACGAAACATAAACCACAGACAACGCAGGCTTTGAGTCCAGCCATTCAACGTAATCGTTTGACCCGTGGAAGATATCGCCGCCAAAGGAAGTATCAGCCGGGTCTTTACCGTCCAACAAGGCCGAGGGAATCAACGGCCCAATTGGAATCATGGTTAGCTTATCAATGGCTTTCAAGGCCTCGGGTTCCAAGTCCTGAAAGGTATTGACAAGAACTATTGGGTTGGGTTCTTCGTCCAGATGTTGAAACTGTTCTTCGAGTGAAGGAAGAGCGAAAGTGTAAATGTTGGAGGGTAAGATGAAGGAGGGAATGTCACGTGTTGCGAGAGAAAAGGGCAAACCCGGAAACTCAAAGGTGGGATCATCTGATTTGTAAGCCATGTTAACGTAGTCCCTGTATTCGTGAAAGTAATGATAGTAGATATCGAAAACCGTGGCTGGTTGAATCCACAGGAGCACCCCCGGGATGTGAAACTCACGCGCCACCTTTCCGGCCCAGGGAAGCATGAGGGTGTAGACGAGGCAGGTGAAAGGTTTGCCTTCCTGTTTAGCGGAGGTTATGATGTTTCCGAGAGACTCAGAGCCGCGGCGCTTGAGCTCGGAGATGTAGGAGACGACTTGGGAGTCGTCAGTGGCTTTGTAACCATCGTCGTGGCCGTCGGAGAAGGTGGCGAAGGAGAGGCCGTGGACCGTAGGTTTGTTGAGCATGCGACGGTGGAGGTAGACGCTGGTGGCGAAAGTGACGTGGACGCCACTGGCAGCGAAGCGCTTGGCGAACTGGATGGCGGGGTTTATGTGGCCTTGGATGGGGTAAGTTATGAGAAGGAGGCGGTGGTGCACCATGGTAACAGTGGGGCGTGAAAATGCAGAGTATTGCTAGTTCAAGGGACAAAGCATTAAGGTAGAGAAGTAACATGCACTGTGTCATGTGACTTTGTCTGTTTGTTATATAGAGAGGAGGAAGGGAGAAAAATGAGAGTGACCGAGACGGCGAGTGAGTTGTGACGTTTGCGGTGACGATAAGGGTAGGGTTGTGTCTGTCATGGCCGAGAACGTACGAAAGCCGGAAAGGAAGAAAAACAAAAAAAATAAAATAAAAAGAAACATGTTGGAGACCCGTGTGTTTTTTAGTTTCGTAATAATTTTATAACAAAATCCCTCTTTAGATAATTTGTTTCAATTGTTGTGAATTGAAACTAGTAGGGTGATAAAAGATGATTAGTGGGTTGGAATAAGAGTTCAAACCGAGAAAGTAACCTTGAAAACATTGAAGTTCGGTTTTATCACACTCATCATGACCACTGTCTCAGAAATGAAGGGGAAGTAAATTGGGCCAGTGTGCACTACCAGCCCAACAAAAACGATATTGGGACTTGAAACTGGATTCAAAATCTATACCTAAGCATCCAAAAATCTGTACCACGATCAACTTGTGAAAATTTATAAAATATTTTGAACTTAATTCAAATCAACAAAATATAATTCAAATATCTAAATATATTAATTTTAGTATAAATTTTATCTATTTTTCTATTAGTATTAAAAAAGTTACCTGATTTCTGTATCAATTATAAAATATTTTCACATTTAATTATTTTTAATATATATTATAATAATAATAATAATAATACATAATTAATATATTTAATTACTCGATTCCAAATAATTATATTATTTTATCAATAATTAACACTAAAACAATAATTAATTATTATTTTAAAAAATTCTTATAAATATGATTATTATATTTTTTATTTTTATATAAATAATTATCTAAAATATTTTTATAAGAGTATTATAAATATGATTAATTAATATATATATACTTTTTATTGTTTTCATTCCCTTATTTTTCAAGAGAGTTAATCAGGTTTATATGATTTGACTCGATGAACACCCACCTAATTTATTATTATTGGTGATTAAACAAGTTAACTCATTTAAATATATGTCTTATTTTTTATCACAAAAATAAGTAAATTAAGAGAATTTACTTATTAAAATATGAATTTAATAAATTTACTTACAAAAATATGTCAATTTATATTTTTTTCATGAAGATATATTTAAACGTAAAAGAATTATAATATTAAGATAATAATAAAAAAAAAGTTAACCCATCTCTAACCTATCTTAAATTGATTTTATATGTGAATTCACTTAACCATAGATAAAGTGAATCGGACATGGCAACCGACGGGGCAAGTTTTACTTTCAGATACCAGTGCCCTGACTTTTTTAACCATCCCGATTTTCGTTGAGATTATAAATTAAGTATCTATTTACGTTTCTGCTGGTTTTCGAGTATTACTCATCGTCTTCGATCTATATTATTTAAAAAAATAATTATATTTATAATAAATTAAATTTACTATGTATTTTTAATATATAAATAAATATTTATAATTTTACAATTTATAATAATTATTAATTAAATATATATATTTTTTAATTTATTATATTTATTCAAAATATGTATGTAAAAAAATATTTAATTATTTTTTATTTATATATATAGAATATTTGTAATAATAATATTATTATTATTATTATTATTATTATTATGTTGTATTCAAATATTTGATTGCATATATAAGTTAATTCATTTTTAAGTTGTCATTTAAAAATATGAAATATATAATTTATAAGGAAATATTTAATAGATTAATGTGAAATATTTAAAAAAAGATAAAGAAGAAAAAAAATTAACTTTATGTTCATTAAATTGATTGAAAAAAATTTAATTAGAGAGATTAAAGAAATCTAAAAAAAATGAGAGGTAAGAGAGAATAATATAATAAACTAATTGATATAAAAGATAAAAAAAGACAAAAAATTAAAATATAAATAGAAGAAAAGTAAAAATTGTGAAATATAAAAAAATAACTTTATATTTATTAAAAAAAATATTTTTAAAATATTAATATTTTAAAATTTAGATTTAAATATAAAATTGAAACGAAAATAATATCAATGTTAAGGTAGGGATTACATTTCCAATTTTTTAAAGTGGAAAAATCTGATCCTCAATTTCGGAAACGATTACTCATTTTGTTCTATAATTAAAAATCTGCAATTTTTTTCATTTTGTACTATAATTAAAAATCTGCAATTTTTTTCTACAAAGTAGGGTCGAACACGCGGAGTTAGCCAAGTTATTAACACGAGTAGAGGCAAGGTGGATTGAGAGGGGTGGTTCTAAAAAAATATTCTTTTAAATTTTATTAAAAAAATATATTATATCTCCCTTAAAAAAATAAATTGTATACCTCTTACTCTTTCTAATATTTAGAAGAGCTTGGCCCATTATATGTCAAGGAAGTGACTAACCGAACTCGTTGAGTAACCTAGTCGAAAGATTCCACTTTGTGATGCTTGTTAACACTACCTCTATTCAACTACTCTACAACCGTTTACTACACAGCATATAACTTACTACCATTAATTTTACCACGTGGAAACTCCCCATCAAACTGATATAATGAAGTGGTAGTACAACGATTTTGATTTATTTTGATGATGAACACCATATGCGAAGCATAAACTTGGAAAAAACAAAAAGGCAAAATACCGAGGAAGACATACAATTAAAGAATCATAAGACCGACATATAACATATTTTACAACAAAAAAAGGGTTCTTTGTTTCTCAGCGCTTGCACTCAACGGGAAGGCCTTGTGGGAATCGCTTAAGGTCGTTGCAGTAGTTATAGATCATGAAGTACTTCTGAACCCATCTCAGTCTTCTTCTGCCATAGGCATCAAGCTCGGTGGTCTGCCGTGCACCATCGGAGAACGAATTGGAAGACACGGAGAACTCTGTGGCTTTGAAATTGCGGTAGTATGCTGTAAATGGTGCCTTGGACCAATCAGTTTTCACCAAACCACCTCTGGTTGCCCAGTCATCTGCATTCCACAGGCTAGAATAGATTCTCATGGGCTGGTTCTTTGGGAAAGGGACACCAATTGTCTCTGCATTCTTGAACACCCTTATTGGAATGTTATCGACCAAGAAGCTGCACAACAGATAAATGAATTTGTTATTTTTGTTCTATTCTATGTCAATTAATGAAGGTGAAAGATACACCATGGAAAGTGAGAGATGAGGAAAAGATCAATGGTTTTGTTTTTACTTACATAATGTGTTGGGGCTTCCAGATGATGGAGTAAGTGTGGAAGTTCCTGGTGGGATCGAACCAGAGGTAGAACTGTTGCTCTCTGTTCCCTTGGCCTTGGGTAAACACGTTTGTGTGGAGAATGTAGGGGTCACCGCTCACGTTTCCCAAGAATTCAAAATCAATCTCATCATGAGTTGGCCCTTGAGATGACAACTGCATCACAAAATACTACCATTATGGACACAACAGACAAGGAATGTTTCGTTTGATAAATATAATCTTAAGAAAATGGGGGTTCTGTTCTGTGCTTGTTTGGCCTTAACTCATTGAAGTAATGAACTAACCTATGCTTGAAAGCATCATGGAATGAAAAAAAAAAAAAAGGTTATCAGCTGTGGTGAAAAGTAAAATGCTCTAGCTTATGAACTGTTACGTAACTTGCGTTTAAAAGGTTGATGCCAAAAGTGTGCAAGCGTGGTAATAATGGTTGTATTTTAAGAGTGGGCAAAGAAAAATATATTGCAGGAAGAAGTGATATTAAAGTTGGTTTTGAAAAAGAAAGAAGAATAGTGTGAGGAGGAGACGAAAGGAATCAAATCAGACGAGTTTAATTCTGTTGTAATAAAACATACGTAGTAAGCAGTGACAGTGCCAGCAGAGTTGCCAGCAACGAGTTTGAGCTGCATATCGATCCTCCCAAATAGGTACTCTTTCTTGGATTGGAAGCCAGAGCCAGAGACTTTGTCCAGGGAAAGAGATAGAAGCTGACCACCACCCAATATCTTAGCACGGTGATCACCCCATGTTAGATCAAAGTCTTGGAAGAAGTTAGCACCACATGCAGCCACCATGGAGCTAACCACCACCACAAGCATAAGCGCATAAAACTCATTGCCAGTAGAAGCCATGTTGGAGAAAGAGAAAGAGAGAGATGTAAATGTTAACGTTTGTTTCGTGTTATGATGGGAAGGGATGTGATGGAAAGAGGTGTATATATATGTGATAAAGAAGGGAAAGGTTTAGGGAAATGAGACTTGGAATATGGATTGTGTTGTGTATGGTGGGAATGGGATGGTGGGACGCGTGAGAATTGATTTCTGGTGCCAGCTTTGCAAGTCTCGAAAGCTGGAAGCTTTTGTTTGAACGTTAGATTATTAATTACGCTTACGAGTTTAGTGAAGAGGCAAATCATGATTGCGGTGTGTCCCACTGTGTGTATACATGCGTAGGTCCCATTCAAGTATGATTTGGAAAAAGAAAATGAAATTAGGAGGAAAATTAGGCGGTGGATGCCAACTGGGTGGTATCACGGAAGGAATAAAAGGGGAACAACACCAACAACTGGTATTTTACTTGTCCACGGGGCTTGTAATAATGCATTATGAATCATCTGAGATGATGCCATGTGGCAGGGTAATGTTTCGGTCACACGCACCATAAATTTATCTCCTGCAAAATAATGGGAGCTTAATGAATTTGAAGGTTCTGACATTGGTCAGAAGTTCACGAGACCACCAATGGTTATCCCTTAGCTCGTACTGATAACTATTTCAACTTTTTAGCTTCAGCCTTGGCTTTAATTTTGTCTCTTGCAACATACTCTAAACCTATTTAGCTAGGTAACACTGTTTCTTATATCCTTGGCACATTACTTACGCACACATTACTAATTAATGGGAAAATTTTGTAGTCCATGACATGAATGTGGGCTATCTCCAGCTGCGTCTGACCAATGCTACAATAGGCAGGATATTTTTCAGATAACTCGACCAAAAACATTGGATAAGATCACAAGTAAGCTCCAAAAACATAGCATTGGAACCAGGACTATCCATCGCCGTACAGTGTCAGAGATTGCTGTAATGATCACAGAACAATGTATTGATATCACTACCTTAGAAATTTCTATAAAAAATATGGTTATAAATCATTTGAAATAGTTAAGATAGGTTAATATAAACCTATATTCATGACAATCCAGCTAGCAGTAGACAGAATCTTGGACCTTTCCTGCGAAATAACCTCTAAAAGGATGCTACCTTACTTAAATGTCTTTTAATTCCTGTGTAATACAGCAGTTTGAACATAATGGAGCAGATTATATATAATGTACATATGGTTGTTGGGAATTAAATCACCTCTTCCTTTTCTCCTTTCTAATTTTTTTATCCTGGAACCAGAAGCATGCGTGTTTCTTAATTTGTTTATTGTTTTTCTTTTAGTAAGAAAACAAGAATGTGAGTACAAAGCTCTTATAATCGATGCTTTGGGCAATAATGTTCTGCTTTCCTTTTCAATAAAGAAACTTTGGGGGTGGATGAATAAGGACCAGTGTCTCTACGTTGGATGAATGTGCGTACAACAATTGATTATGCAATGAGATGATAGAGTATAATTAAGGCTTTGTTTGGTTGGAGTGATTTGAGGGAGTGGAAATGAGAGAGTGGAAAATGAGGGATTTGAAGAGAAAGGGAGATGAATGAAAAGTGAAAGGAAAATTTATGGGAAATTGTGAATGATTTGATTGATATGAGATATAAAAATTATAATTTTATGTTGATTATTTAAGAAAATTACCATTTTACCCTTTGTATAAAATAAGGTTCAAATGATTATAAATATAAATTTTTAATTAATTATCCATATTTTAACATTGATTATATATTTAAAAGGAAAAAACAAAATTAAAAGTGTTTGTAATTGGAAACAAATTTAAAAAATTAACTTTTTTTAGATAGTTATTAAAAATTATATAAATAAACAATTACAAAATTATGTACATTGCATATCCATATTCAAATAATGTTGACATGTTAAATAAATTATTTGACTAATAATTAAATAATTATAAAATATAAAATAATAATTAATATTGACTGATAATAACAAATAATTATGAAAACTAATAATATAATTGTACATTATTGTTTAAAACAAATATAAAATACGAGTGAAAATAGAATAATAATTAAGAAGTGATAAAGTGTAATGTTATTGATGTTAATTTTAACAATAATAGAATAATATTATTTTCGAAAATGCCCATATGAATGTGAATATTTTGATTATTATTATATAAAATAATTAAAAGAATAAGGTAAATAGAAAAGTAAAATGCATGGTTATACCACTTTCCTTTTAATCTATAATTAGTTAGGTATGAATCAAATGTAAAGTCTAATGTTATTGATGCTAATTTTAAGAAGATCACAAAATGTAAATTAAATAACTACAATATAAATTTCTACTTTGAAAATGAACAATATAATTAAACTCAAAATTGAGAATACTCTTATACATTTTTGAACTCTTTTGGATAAATTTTGTTTTCCTAATTTTTGATAAAGTTAATTTTAATATTTAAAAGTATTTAACATTTTGAATTCTGAAAGGTTTTCTCTAATAGCAAATTTAAAAACATAATATTCAAAAAATATTTTAAGATTCAGTCTCGGGTTGCATTTCGCTCGAGCGACTATATCTCGCTCGAGCGAAAAACGATCCTGATCGATCATAATTTGAAATGATCGATCATAATTGGAGGATATAATAGCGGTTCCTCCGTAACCGCTATTTAAAGTATATATTAGATAGCGGTTATGGTTTAACCGCTATTACAAGTTATATTTCAGCTGAGCGACATTAAACTCGCTCGAGCGAAGACACCTGCACATAATTTTCATCATCGGGTTGTCTTTCGCTTGAGCGAAACTGATCTCGCTCGAGCGACTAGCAAAGTATGATCTCGCTTCGATTTATTTTAATCGATTAAAACACGTTTTAATCGATTAAAACCACTTTGGAAGTCAGGATGATCGATCAGAATGTAATTATGACCGATCAGAGTTGGTTATGATCGATCAGAATTGAATTATGAACGATCAGACTTATTTCAATCGATTAAAACAAATTTCAATCGATTAAAATGACTTGAAAATTTTTGTACAGAGTTTTAATCGATTAAAACGCATTTCAATCGATTAAAATGACTTAGAAAAAATTCTGTGCAGGTTTTTAATCGATTAAAACTTTTTTGTATCAGTTAAAATAACTTGAAAAGTGTTATAAGAAAGTTTTAAACTGAATCAATCGATTAAACCGCGAATCAATCGATTAAATCACTCTTAGAAAATGTTTGTAAAAAGTTTTAAGCTGATAAAAACTTGGTCGTATCAGCTAAAACAATTACGTTAAAGAACAAGAACGCATTAATGGGTTGAAAGGACTTTTAATAGATTATAACGACTATTTCAACATATTAAAACAAACTTTGAACAGATTAATTAATGCAGTTTTTTCGAAAACTCTTTTATAAAGCAGAATTGCTTGGAACTTTTATCATATCAGTTTTTAAAAAAACAAAGCAATAAATTTATTGGGTGAACCAGGTATAACAATTGCTTGGGTGTGACAAGTATAACAATTTATTGGGTGAACCAGGTATAACAATTTATTGGGTGAACCGAGTATAACAATTTATTGTTTCCCTAATTTTTGATAAAGTTAATTTTAATATTTAAATTTATTAGAGGTTAAGGTTTAACCTCTATTATAAGCTCCCTTTAAGAATGGTTCTTAAAGTGTTCCATCAACTCCCTGCTGCTTCTCAATTCCTGATTGAATCAGTGCCAGAGTCGGATTAAAGAAAGTAGAGTCGGATGTTATTGCCTTTGCCCCCACGCCAGCTTGCTCTCTAATCCCACTGCGGATTGGATTGAACTGAAAAAGCGGAGCTTAGGTAGGCTACAACAACTCTCAAAGCGTGAGCTCATAAGCCGTATTTCGCTCGAGCGACTATATCTCGCTCGAGCGAAATACGATCCTGATCGATCATAAGTTGAAATGATCGATCATAATTGTTGTATATGATAGCGGTTCCTCTGTAATCGCTATCTAAAGTGTATATTAGATAGCGGTTCCGAGTGGAACCGCTATCATATACAACTATATTTTAATTTATTGAGGCTCGACTAGTTTTTCGCTTGAGCGACTATATCTCGCTCGAGCGAAATATGATTCTGATCGATTAGATTTATGAAATGATCGATCATAATTGGAGGATATAATAGCGGTTCCTCTGTAACCGCTATCTAAAGTGATATATAATAGCGGTTAAGATATAACCGCTATTAGAAGTGATATATAATAGCGGTTATGTTTTAACCGCTATTAGAAGTGATATATAATAGCGGTTAAGTTTTAACCGCTATTAGAAATGCTATTATAATAGCGGTTAAGATTTAACCGCTATCATATGGAAGAGGGTAACTTGGACTTTTCTTTATCTCCAGCAGACTTTCGTCGCTTTTCTTCGCAGATTAGCGAAGAAAGCTTCTCTCCCCTCTCACGCATTTCCTCGCCTGCATTTCTTCGCAAATCTGTTCAACCAAATGTGGGTGAATCTCGTGTTTCTGTCGTCGTGAACAGTATTTCATCGCAAATCAGTTCAAACAAACACACCGTAATAGATAGTGATATTGCTGGATGCAACTAAATTTGTTCATAATGATGAGATTGGCACAAAAATAGATTCATCAAAGTAATCAAAACTATTTTACTACCTCTCACCAAAAGACAATTGATAATAATGCATGAAATTAGTATGGTGGAATTAAACATCATAATTGATGATAGTACAATTTAATTTGCATATGATCATTAATTTATAAAATAGAGTATAATTTTTGGTTGGAGAATATATACGACGGATACAGCTGAATGAATAATTTGGAATGATTATTGATGAGTATTAATGAAAGGGTAGCACAGGAACAGGGTGCACCCAAAACCTAATTCTCAAACCCACGCAGCAAGTAAGCGCGGCAATGGAATTCAAGTGGGCCCGCGTCAACATTATTTATTTAATATCTCTATACGTATAATTAAAACTTATTATAATGTGATATCA